GTGTGTGCGTTGTGGCTTTCTTTAGTGGTATTGGAGTTCTCAATTCCGTTTAAGTTAACGGACAGTCTGTGCTGATTTAATGAAATACGCGTTACCTTAAATCTCGTTTCTTTTTAGGACCTCAGTTTACAGGCCTGTACACAGCCCGAAGTACTGCAGTAGGTTCCTAATCCCCCCCCCTTCTTTTTTGCCCATTTTTTTTATAGCTTCGCAGTGTGATACACAGGCCTATACAGTTTTACCTTATTTTTGCTGTGGGTTATGCAAGCGAAGGTTAACCTTGAGTTATATTCAGACGCAAGTGGCTGTCGACGCTGACATCAATAATTACGAAGCTCCTCTTGTTACGTTCATCTTTTTTTTTTCCTTGGCACTACAGCCCCAGTGGGCCTAGGCCTACCTCCATGAACTTCTCCGTTCACTTCGGTTTTTCTAGACCTTACACATTCGGTAGGACTCCTTGGGCGAGTGATCAGCTCGTCGCAAGGCCTCTACCTGTACACAAACACAGAAAAACGCACACAAACATCCATGCCCTGAGTGGGATTCTTCGCTCCAAGCGAGCGAAGACAGTGCCTTAGGCCGCTCGGCTACCGTGACCGGCATATTCACCTTTTAGGCCCCTATATTTTCCTCAGTACTTAATTTCTCAATACTAAAATATTAGAGAACAAGTTGCGCATCCTTAAAAAATACAGGTAACATAATACTCTCTTGTTTAAAGTGTAGGATTTTTATGTAAGGTGCAGGTACGAGTAGATACAAATGCTGAACTCAATGGAAGCAAATATTCACTCACATTGATCTGTTCTTAATTCCCTGCTGAATACTTATTTAGGTTTTGCTGAATTCATTTCTACACAAACTTCCTTCATATCGCCGTCTAACAGGGTTCTCTCCCAGATCGCGGTCCGCGCGTCGTCACTAATCCGCCTCAATCTTCAAGGTAGAGGTCTCTTATTTTTTCACAAATAAACATGTGAGTTAAATATCAAAATCTTTAGCAATTTTCAATTTGAAATTAATGGAAGTTAAATTGTCAACAAAATTTAATTTCCATTCCATTTAAAGCTCTTAGAATAATCGTTAAATATTTGAGTGGGGCGCTAAAGAAACTCCACACAGTGAGTTGTCCGTGGTCACCAAATCCTTGAGAATTTCTGTCCTAACAGAATTTCTGTTTTATTTTTTACAAAGTTCAGCAGACTACAAAGACACTCAGCAGACGTCAGTGCATTAACATCCAGCTCTACTTCCGGTCAGAAAACGCAGGAAGCAATAATACAATTTTACGATGCAATAAATGTCAAAACAAGGGCAGAAGCCATAACGGCTGCGTAACAAACCGAACATACTCCTTTCTTAGCTTCTGGTTCATTTACTCAACTTTCAAATGGTCCTAGCAACAAATTTCTTCAGCTGTTGAAAAGACACGTGACCCACATCCGTCACCCAATCTCTCTGTTTAAAATGACAACAGTAAATTCTAGCAATTCCTAAAGACTCTAATGGAGAAAGAAAAATTTGAACGAGATGTTCTATGATGCATACTTCCATTAAAATGCTTCAATCTATACAGCAAGGTTACAAACAGTATAAATTTATAATTTTACAACATACTGATTAATGTACGATGTAAGTGTGTAATTACCAGAAATATTGATCCTGGCTAAACCACAGCTTCCCAATATAACATAAATGAATCGTACCTCCATGGCGAAGTGTTTCGTATGGAATGTGTATGTGTTCGATATACAGGATGTTCCTAAAAGAATGGTGGAGTTTTAGATACGTATATATTTCGTATTTCTTACCGTGTACAATCATAACATGTGTCAATCGGAAGCTTAACTGTCCAAATTTTATGTACATCCATCAAAGTGCCTCTATGTGCGCACCTTTCCTTACCCGGCACACATCAATGTGATAGTCGAATTCCTGCCACACCGGCTGCAGCATTTCAGGTGTGATGGTCTCCACAGCACGATTGATTCTGTTTCGGAGATCCTGGAGCTATTGGGGCAATGGGGCTACATAAACCATGTCCTTCACTTACCCCCCACAAGCAATTCTCTGCTTCCTCTAAGTAATGATTTTCTTGGGCTTCTCTGATACGTCTCCCTCACTCTTTCCACGTCTGCATGTGGCACACGTGGCCGCCCAGAACTCTTGCCTTTACAGAGACATCCACTGTCCACAAACTGCCGATACCATCTGCGAATATTGTTTTCATGTGGCGCCTCCTTCTGAAAACGTACACAAAATTCAGGTGCACTGTAACGATGGATTTAGACACCTCAAATCTCAGCACGCAATAGGCCTTCTCCTGCTGGGACGCCATCTTACATTTCACGCCTTCTAACTGTCGGAAATGGAACTAGGAAAGAGCGCGATATACAAAATGAAAATTTGAGAGCCGCGTTATGAGTCCGTATACGTTTTGCTTTTCATCACCAAAAACTAACGGAGATATACGGCAATGAAACCCCACCATTCTTTTAGGAACACGCGATATATCGGAGAGAGGATATACAGATCTTGGCAATCGTTGGAGGTGAGTAGTCAGTTTCACGTCCCGACCCTTTACCCTTGGGAAAGAGTTCCCGGTATCCACTTGGTAGGAGCCTGGGTGGGCCTTAGAATCGGTCTGGACGAAGTCGAAAGGAAAAATCTTATATTTACCGGGACCCGAACTCTGACCCCTTCGCCATCCAGCCCGTAGCCAGTCGCTATACCGACTATGCTATCCCGGCTCCATTACACAACTACTGTACTACCACTGTAATTTTCTCGATTCAAGGTGACCTAAGGAAATCACAATGTCACTAGCTGCGTAAAAATCTAAACCATAAGGAAATTTGGCGTGAGTAGACTGATTTCAGCTGATTATGTTGGGGCACATTTTCGAGCTCCTGCGAATATGGTACTGAGCCTTCAGGTTCCATAAAAGATGGAGATTCTTGACCACTTAAGAGATTAAAAGATCCTCAAGATAAGTACACCTTTGTAGGTGAAAGATGTGAGGCCAAATTTGCTTTAAGAATAAGAAAACAAGTTAAACTAGTGTCATATGTTGCAATAGAAATAAAGTTCGGTAGACTTGCTGTCCTTCCATCCGTTGCTGAAACAGCCGGGTTTACATTCAGCGGGTGCGGCCCTGCCTTTCCTTTACGGTGACTTTGCAAAGCAAACATTAAAACGCTCCTCACTTATGGTTTCATACTGTGCAGCCAGGGATTATAGTTGGAACTCATTTGCAATTCTGCTTGATATTCACAGCATTACCTGCTTTGTAATTTTCATTCTATAAATTCACAGCGCAACCCTCGGACTTGTCGTTCTAGCAGGTACTTCATTTTGAAAATTTGATGTTCTGCGATCGATAGGACAAAATTCCTAGCAAAGCGACCACAAACGTAAAACGAATATGATATGCGGTAGTTGCTTTTTTCAACCTGCTTATTAATTTCTGTTCACGACTCACCCCGGTACCGTGACAATGAATTCGGGAAATTACCTAAGTCAATTTATTTCACTTCTAGTTTAACTTCTCTGATATTTGGTTGATGAAACCGGTAAGAGTGAATGCAGCATGCGTCTGGGAAATGAGGGCTGAATTTATTTTTTTAAGAACAATTATAAGAAGAGACAACTACAGACGCCTAGACCTGGATGAGATGTAAATATAAAGGTATGAATGTATAAGGCCCTCGCACCGCGACCACAGTGATCTGTTGTGCTTCCTTTCACCTGGGATTAATACTTTAAACATCATATCATGAAGTCGTATTGAAGGATGGTGGTACCGATCCATGTATTATTAACCCTACACTAGCTAGAATTCAGTAGTCAACTACACAATCCGGCCGCTTTACCCCCAGAGTGACGAACACCCGTTACGCATTGTGCAGGAAGCTGGGTGGGAAAAGAGCTGGTCTGGACGCTGTGGAGGAGACAAATATGTCTTGCATCGTCTGGGAATCGAATCCGGATTCCTTAATCGTTCATCCCTCATCCCGTCGATAGACGGGGGAAGATATCAGAATATTGTGAGGGTACGAATAGTGTTCAGTAATTCTCCTGTGCACATGGTAATGGATCTTCGTAATCCTTTCTGCGCATAGCTCCCAAGTGGTTTCATTCCTTACCATCCCAGCTAAAATTATGTGTGCTCATATATTTTTCAACGTTCCCATTCGTGCTACAGTTTCACCAGCCTGACGCTCTTTGATTTCATTATTAATAATACTTGTTGAAGAATATAAATTATGCATTTCGCCATTTTCTCCTGTTACTTCCTTTCTCATAGGTCCAACACCCTGTTCTGAAACTCGACTTATGTTCGTGCCTTATGACGATAGACCAATTTTCACCTCCATACAAACTAACAGATATAATTATTTGTTTTACTACTTAGTTAATGGAGGCAGGAAGTTGCAACTCTTATAACAGAAAAGCTCAACTACGGGGAATGGCAACTCTGCCTCATCCCAACTCCAGGTCTCACTGGCCTGGTGTGTAGCACCAGGTAAGTGTCCCTTCCCAGGGGTACGTGACGGGCAAATAGGACCTGTTAGCCACGGTAGGCAACCTGTCTGAGGGAAGGAAACCCCGATTAAAAATATCGGTTTTCCAAAGTGGGAGATTTTGCAATAGGCTTGTAGCTTGCTCAAGCAAGAAAGAGTTACTTATCCTGAGATCCTGAATTGCGGAAGATTGAGGACGGAACGACCTAAATTCCTGCACATTATAATGATTATTATTTAGTTAATCTATAATAAGCTAAAACTAATTTTCATCTATTCTTTCGGGAGGAACATTGCCCAGGTTGCTCGGAATATTAAAGAAGGTCCGTTTCAAATTTGAGTAATAACGAATGTAGAATGACAACAGGGACCCCATGCCACATGCAGCGGGATCACAAGCAAAGTGTGACTCAGTGCCAACGGGCGAAGAGACAACTGAGTGTGACCCTACATGCAACTTTCTTCTGTTTTCAGATTCGTCGGCAATATTGGGGACACATACGGTTCCGCCCTGCTGCTGCACATGTTGACCAGTACGGTGACCTTGACACTGCTCGCCTACCAGGCCACAAAGGTCTCTAAATCTTCCTACTAGAGACTATCACATTTGCATCTTGGGTTCCTCTCACTTATTATGAATATATTACTCCTATATTATAGGTTGGGCGGCATGGGCTGGATTAATCTGACTCAGGATAGGGATCAGTTGAGGGCTTTTGCTAACACGGCAATGAACCTTCATGTTCCATAAAATTGTAGGAAATTCTTAAGTAGCTGCGCAACTGGCGGCTTCTCAAGAAGGGCTCGGCTCCATGGAGTTAGTTACTATTCTAATATTAGTGTTTAGGAAAATTAGGAAGAAAAACAAAAATAATTAGATGGGTGATGCATGTACGTACAACGCACTGAAAAGAAACATATACACAACTTTATTTGAAAGCTTAGTAAGAAAATACCATCTGGGATTCCTAGGTGTATATGGAAGATAATATTAAAATGGAGCTTAAATAAATACGAATACGTTGCAACGTAATGTCTGAGAATCATTCTCACAAATTAGGACCTTAAGAAATAACTGATAAGTTAAAAAATATATATTGTACTGGGTACTTAAAATATAAAGTAAGTTACAACGTTATTCTTAAAATGTTTGACAGAGGTAGAGATGTTGTCTACTTTAGACACTCCTTGATGTTATTCTTACAAATATGTGTACACGTTACGCTGTGTTCTCCTCACAGATCGAGGCCGTGGATGTGTACGCGTGCTCAGTGATAGGTTATCTGGTCTACACACTGGGACAAGTGTTTCTCTTCTGCTTCTTCGGAAACCGCCTCATCGAGGAGGTAATGCGCCTCTTTATGACCTAATTAAATGTCTCTATTGCCTGTTAGGGTCACTTTATGAACTTCTACATCTGCTCACAAAAAGTAAATACTCATATAAGATGACCGGTGACAGGTACATGAACGTCAAAAAAGACCAGAAACTGCAGCTCTTAAATTTTAGCAATTACAGCTGGGCCAATAATTTGGGCTGAATTATGTTGAGCAAAATGAAACCCTAAATCACAGTAAATTTGCACAGTTAATTTTGATGGGATTTTTGATATGAGACAAAGGAACAAAAGAGTGGACAGCTGTAGTCTGTTCTTTATTTTCGCACAAGGCAAACAAGAAACCAGTATGAAGCAGGTAGCAAGCTCTGCTTACTCTTTGACACTAAAAATTGATGCGACATATTCCTCCGAAACGTCCGTTGACTTTTGACGGACTACATATACCAGAAGATAGAACCCTTCAAGACCATTAAGAGATATTACTTAAGAAATAATTATTGTGTAGAAATTTTGGTTACGTAATGCACTTAATCTTAGAAACTCAGATTAGCCGTTCTACTCGTATGTTCCAGAGCTCGTCAGTGATGGAGGCTGCCTACAGCTGTCAATGGTATGACGGGTCGGAGGAAGCAAAGACTTTCATCCAGATCGTTTGTCAACAGTGCCAGAAAGCTATGAGCATCTCTGGAGCCAAGTTCTTCACTGTGTCACTAGATCTGTTTGCTTCGGCAAGTTTCAATATTTATACAGTTCGCAGATAAATCAATGATTTAGCGTGTTTGTAGAAAATATGATAGCCTTTTGAATGCGTTGCATTTTATTTAGTGTTAAGCATCATAGTTATCAGGTTTCTAAATATTTTAATTTAGTAAGTGACATGAACTGAATTTAAATTTTCACAGCTCAGTTATTAGCGTAGTGAGATAGCAAGTTTGTCATATTCACTTCTTCATAGCTTGGGAACTTATTATTATTATTTATTATTATTATTATTGGAGGGGGTGGGTTTCCCCATGCACCGCGACTAGTAGTCTATTGTACGTCCCCCTTTGATGTTCTACCAGTCTCTATACCCTACCGGTACTGGTGCATNCTTGTTCCCTGAATTTTTCCGCCCTTAAAAATTCCACGACCTCCGCCGGGTTTGAACCCGCGTACCACGAGTCGTGACGTGAGGCCGCTTTGGGAACTTAACTGTGAGCTCTATATTTTACGTGCTGTGGGACTGATTGTAAGGTTTATGTTTTATGAGTTGAATGCCTGGCTGTAAGATTTGTATCTGATTCTCTGGGTTGCATGCCTGAATTAACGCTTTATATTTTGACCTGAGGACTTGATTTTAAGCTTTATATTTCACGTCTTGGGCATCTAAGTGTCAGCTTTATGTATATACTGGTGTTAAGCACCTGACTGCAAGATTCGTAGCGGTAGACTCAAGGTGGCTAACACTTCAGATGCCAGATATCAGACTGTACCGTTTATCTGACTAGATGTAAGTTTTTTATATAATTTTATATTTTAAATGTAGATATTGAGTGCCTGAAAATAACTTATGCTGTTGATTGTCTCTTCGTAATTTCGAGATTTCAGGATGAGGGTGCCTAGCTGTAAGCTTTGTTGTTAAATTATCGCGTGCATTACTATAGTTTTCATAGTAGGCTAGGTTTTTCTGTGGGGCAATATTTGAGAAGTAGGTTGATTCAGTCACTTTCGAGATGTTCATTACAAATGTTGCTGTTTCAGGTACTTGGAGCTGTAGTCACCTACTTCATGGTGTTGGTCCAACTCAACTAGACGGATGCGTAGGTGCTCTGGAGGTGACAATTACTAATATAACTTTCAAAGCCTGCGAATTATACTAAGATAACCAACAAGATGTCATACTTGTATTTATAAATAGCGGGAACTGTTTCTGCAATGGCTATTTTCGTGTATGACGACTCACTTATTTCGAGAAGTCCCTGACACCATAGCGTAAACACAGCAGACGACAGCAACGAATTAATTATTCGAACATTCTTTAAATCTGTATGAAAATTGAGTTTATGTCCTACTTAATGGCGCCTTTTATCATTTCAACATACATACTTAATTTCGTATTAAAACCAGAAATTAAATTTGTTATCCGACGTGATGAAGGCCTTCATGAGGACTGGGAGTCTGTTATAATGAATGGAAGTTTAAATTTCATGAAACATCAGTGTTTCCGATACCATTCCTTTCATACAAAAGTATGCAGTACACGAACAAAATGTGCATAACAGTGAACTTTTGAACAACAATTAAATTAACTGCGGGATTACATAAACTACTCAAGTCGTTATGCTGACACACGGTCATCATGTCACTGAGAACAAATATTTATTGCCTCAGAGACTGAAATATACAAGGTAGCTATTGAATTCAACTACATATAAAGAAGCAGAAAATCAGTAGAAAAGTTGAAATAATTTCCGTATGGAAGAATTATAAGGAGAAGTAACTAAAAACAGCGTTGAAATCAGTGTTTTTTTTTTCGGAATGACTAAGTCAACGTAGCTCAAATATGTCAGGTTAAAATGTTCTTAAGTTTTATAATGTTTATTTGGATACACAAATTCCTGTTTTGTCGGATCAAATTACCATGTTGTTGTAAACACAATAAATGGCCATTCTTCCTTCACATATATGGTACTAGCAGGAAGAAAAATATTAAAAATAATAAAATAATAAAAGCTAACGCATTTGTACTTACTAGTTGTAAGAAATATCATTAAATATAAATTCATGAGTCTAATGTCATAATAATATTCATCATAAAGTCTGAATACATTTAAATATGTTTCAATAATAATATTTATTGATCATTTTGTCTTACCTATCTGTGATATAAGATTAATTTCGAAACTACAATTTCACAGATGAGAGCAGTAACATTTCGTGTACAAAAGTAATATTGACCGCACTTGGTTATGGCAGACAATTTATTTATGAGGCACATGATTTAAGTGAGGGGAGGGGAGGCGTGTATGAAAACTGGAGGAGAGTATACTATCATATCATAAACTGTTTTTAAAATAATTGATCAAACTTACAACTTATTTTCACAATGATCTGAATATTATTTGGTGTTCACATTGTAACGAATAGTCTAAGGATTATGGTCTGCTGGAACTTAATGCCGTACGATCTGGTATACAGAGGTACGATACTAAACGGCGTCAAATCCTAGAAGACCGAAATCTTAACATCCACTACCTCGATAATCTTAAATTCGACAAAATGTCTGACGACAACGAACAGAGGGAATAACGGACACTAAACAAACCGTCAGACCATTTCGAATGCCCCGTTTTTACAGGTCGTGGACAGACTAAATAAGGGCCTCAAATGTGTGCTGGGGGCTACTTTCCTGGGGTAAACCGGCCGGGCGTGAAGTTGATCACTCGGCCCCATGCGTGAGGATATACCTCCACACATCCAGACGTCTTTAGGACGTGGTAATTAATTAACCACAGGGAAAAGTATATCTGCTATGAGAGTTAAATTTCGTGTCATACAGCATGAAAAAATAAATAATGAATTGTTTTGGGGTTAGAAGTCGACGTTTCGGTGTAAAGAAATTCAAAGGATATGGGCATTTAACCCCGTCATTAATGAATTCATTTAAGAAAATAAATGTTTTTAATCTTTTAATGGCATATATTTACATAAGATTTAAAGTTCACATTAACGAAAAGCGCACAAACTTCAGCTTCTGAGATGAAAAGGAAATTTATTTTCATAGACATTATCAAACACTAAAGAACTTCAGAGCAAAAACTGCAGGTATTTCCTATCGAGATGTCTTTCGTTGGGTGGAAATAATTCTTGTAAGGTTCATAAACATTGAGAACCACTGGTGTAGATAGTTTACAACCCACATATAATGTGGATCTGCAATGTTGAAAATCGTGCTAGTTAGGCTTGTGTTAAGAAGGTGCACGTGTAAATAAAACTGTAAATATTTTGAAAATTTAAACCTATATATCCTAGCATGTGTTATGTGTCTAATTTAATATTAGGGGTAAAAGAAACGCATTAGTTCAGTTACTAGGTGCAAAGCAGGATTCAATATAAAATATCCATTTTCATATCCATAGATGTTACTACTTCGATAACAGAATTTCAGTTGCTAAGCGCTGAAGCAAAGCTGGTTCTGCATTCACAGCTAGTGAAACCATAAAATTGTCGTGAAGTTACAACATCAATGAATACACCAATTATCGTTTTGGGTATTGGATTTCTTACATAAGTGTAAATAATCAATAAATATATAAGTAGATATAGACATATATATCTATATATAAGCCTGTTCAGTTGCAGATATAGCGTAAAGGCATTTTGATCTAGATTAGAGACACGTAGTTTTAATTTAGAACCGAGCTGTGGTGTAACCATGGCAACAGAATTCTTGTACTGGCATTCAAGATGCCTGATAATGAAGGTACTGGGACTTCTAATGATAGTGAAAAAGTTACTGACGGTAAAACACTTTATGTAATGTTATACACTGAATAAAGTTTACTCTACTTACAATGTTATATATGTATTGTTCATAAGCCTCTTCTTTCCTCCTGTAAATCTTCTGATGACCACGATATAAATGGACGCTATGACCGACTAGGTATAACGTAAGTCAATTTTGAGCAGAACAATTAAAACATACGTTAAAGAACTCTCTCTTTTCTTTAGTCGTATGGAGATAACTAAGCCCTTCTCGTGGGAGAGACAAAGTTTCACCTGGCTGCCTGTTTCCAGAATTATTTTCTGATCCTTTTATAGTTTTATCGTCTGAATATATTGATATTATCAGCTTACACTTCTTATTTTATAAAATTTTTGATACTGCATATTACATTTATGAATTCACCTGCCTGTCCTCTGTCAATAACCTTCGAAACAACTGGCGACATTTCATAAAACCTGATATGAATACCATGGCACTAGAAGCAAATTATCTTTATACTTTTAACTTTCTGTAATTATTGATGCCAACTGTTCTCTCGTGAGAACTACTGAGGCGGGACCAACACTAGCGCCAACCAATGCAACGTTCTGAAATTTGGTGTGGCAGATTAATGGATGTAAGAGTTGAGGATTTCACGGCGGTGACTATGAAGAAAGCAGTCTTCTGGGATTTGGCACCGTGTATATGTGGTGTTAACCGACGTTTCGGAGGAACGTATCGCCTCCATCTTCAGGGTAGAAGAAAAAATATAAGAAATCTGCAAGCAGTTTTTACCGGTCCTCACGGTCTCTCCGCTTGCAGATTTCTTATATTTTTTCTTCTACCCTGAAGATGGAGGCGATACGTTCCTCCAAAACGTCGGTTAACACCACATATACACGGTGCCAAGTCCCAGAAGACTGCTTTCTTCAAATTAATGGATCTTTGAAAAATGCATAACTTTTGGTGAGGCAATATTTTTGTAGAATATGAAACGTGAATGTGTAGGCAGCTCGAAATCTGTAAGCTATTTAGCTTTCCGCTTGCTGGCAGTAACAAATAGCCAATTCAGGTTAGATATTTAAATTCTGGTTGAGAGGTTAATTGCGTCATAACCATGTCAACTGTTACAAGTATGATGGGGCTGACAAACTTTGAGCTTATCTTTAGCGTGGATCTGTAAACTTAAGATATGTACGAATGGATTGCTATATTATAAAATTATACTTTTGTGTTTTTTATAGCTTTGCAATATGGAACATATAATGCGAAGGAACTTCTAGCTGACGTTCCAACTGCAAAGATTTCCCCGACGAAGAGCTTGATGTGTATGTCGCCTGCCAGTTTCCTGACTCAATTACTGACATCAGTGGCCCAGTTACTGTTAAGTGGTCGGTTTGGCGTGAGTTGCTTGCCACGGAAGCCAACATTTACGTTCCTGCCATTCAGTTCATTAACTTGTTCGTACGTACTTGCAAAGTCGGAAAAGTATTGTTACCTTTCGATGCAAGATTGTACAGCGACAGAGCTTTGAAAAATATTGCAACTCATTTAGGTTAATATGGCGACCGTCCGAAGTATTTTGGCCTAATGATGAGAATTAATGTAAAATGTATTTTGGCATGTTTCTCTCTTACAGTAACATGTATTTCATTCATCTACTGTCAGTACTCATACTACTTGTAATATGATAATGTAGATTGCATTAATCTGGCTGAGGACAGAAAAGAGATCTTGTGATTTTCGTGACGAATCATCGGGTTCTGTAATAAGCGAACACCTCACTGACTAGCTGAGGAACCTCTCAAATACGAATACGCACCGTGTAATTATTGCTCTGCTCAGGGTAACTTTCAATAATTTGATACACTCAGAAGTATTCTATGATAATTTCACGTGATTTTTTCCTCGTCCTTTAGCAGACCACTTCCCAACAGTAGAAAATCCTAATGTGTGAGTAGGCAGATACAATGGAAATTATCCATGTTTCTGATTCTGGAGACCCTCTCTTCGAATTTTGACAAGAATTCTGAATTACAACCATACGAAAATTTCTCTCTCCTCTTGTGTGAAAACATGTACTGTGGTAGGTATTCACTAGCGTTTCGGAAGAACGTGTTCGGCTCATCATCAAGATTTCGGTAAATATTTTGATACGTAGAACCGTTGCTAGGCAACGACAACAAAATAAACAACTATACAATGGTCATTACTAGGCAGCGGCCGGTAAACAGCAAAAGAAGAAAAATGTTTTCTCTTGTGCGGTTCGTGCTGAGATGTTATAAGCAGGACGAATCAGTGAGGAGTGAGTTGAGTTGGTTGGTGAGTTCGTTGGGAAGTGAGTGAGTTAGAGGACTGCTGCAGTCCAGTCGTTGTGAGCTGTTGCTGTGAGAAGCTGGTAGCTGAGGTAGGGGACCGTCCGCCGTTGAAGCCGCTACCAAGCAACGGCAGTGAAGACGTGAGTGTGGACACTACTGTGTTTTTGTGTAAAAAAGTAAAGTGTTGTCACACGCTGTAACAAAGAGTCAAATAAATCCGGTCATCAATCCAAATGCCATCTGCAGTCACTAAAATTATGTGACTATCTACCAAAATACACGATGTCACGCTCCAGAATACGGCAAACTTCACTGTGATCTCCGTCAGAACCTCAAACCTCACAGGCCTGCACGTCCATACATGCACTCATAAGTGCTTAGGCAGTAAGTCACAACGGATGACTGACTCTACTCTAAGCTCCTCCCACATAATGTATTCCTCACAGAGCAATTTGGAGGAACGATGCAGCATCTGACTCACTTTCCGTATGTACCTGGTTCGAACTCCGGCTAGGTACCAATTATTTTTCTTGACTGAATTATTCACGGATTTTCTCTAGAGTGTGACATGGCGCCTGAAAGCCGGAATAGTGAAGTCAGAAAGGACTATTATTGTTAGGTAATGATTGGCTAAACACGATCCGAGCATTACCCTGTCAACGAATATAGGTCTGTTGCCGGGCAACGCCTAG